ACCGCAAAAAACCACTTTTTTTTCCCCGCGGGGCCCTTTCCTTTCCCCCTCCCCGGCGGGGCCTTGGGGCTGGGGGCCCCCCCCCGCCCCCCCCATCCCGTTTTTGGTGGGGCCTTTTTTCAGTTTTTCCCTACCCAGGTTTCCCACCTCCACCGGGGGGGGGGGGGGCCCCATCGGGACCCCCCCGCCTCCGTGGAAAACCCTTTTGGCCTTTTCGGCCAAGCCCCCGGGGGGCGGGGAGGGGGACAGGCCCCCAAACGGAACCTTTCCCCTTAAAGGGGGGGGGGGGGGGGGGGGGGGGGGGCAAGTGTGTGTGTTTGGGTTCTTTGAAACGTCAGCGAGGGAGAAACCCATCGTCGAGCTCGCTTGCCCGAAGGGCAAAGGGTCCCTGGTCCGTCGTTGTGTGAACGGTTGCGCATCCCCGCTGCCGTGCGATTCGCGTTTGTCTACCAGAAAAAAAAAAGAGCATGCTAGACCAACCCTACCTCCGCGTCGCCCTTTCGGCTGTTTGTTTTGTGATGGGTGACGAGGAAATAATCGCCCCTGTTTTTTCAGCGCTCAGTGCGTACCCCCGACCTTAGCGTCAGAAGAACAGGTACTGCAAAACATGACAGCACCGCACGTTGCGCCAAGTATACGGGGCCTCCTAGGGCGGATACCAGTACCTCATCACCAAACCATCAAAAAAAAAAAAAACATACTAAAAACGGCCCCGGCACCATCCGTCACACCACCGTCAGCCTCCGACACGATCGAATAGACAACCAACCATTTCCGTCCCTGCAGATTTCACACGCAGCCGCCAAGTCTTGCACGTGTAAAAGGCGTACCACAAGCCGCCAGACTAGGGCGGCGCCCGACTATCAGTACCCCCGACCATCTGCGTACCTCCTGAGAGTATGAGCCCCGTCTTCGCCGCCTCCGGCGCGGACAGGCCGAACCCGAGGCTGGCGGATGAAATGATGATGCTCTTGAAGGTCACCAGACCCAACAGCAGCCCCGTCACCGTCGGCCACTGCTCGACCAACAGCATGGGGTCTACCGTCGCGCTGCAAGCGAAGGGACGACATTTTTTGGGGTTAGGGCATACCGTGCGAGTTGGGCGTACTCTTTTATGTTTCGCATGCCTTAGCTGTTAGACCACGCGTCCTGGAGAGGACGGAGGTTTGTTCCCACAGGTCAATGGGGGTCGCGGCAGATTTAAACAAGACACAGCGAAACATGCAGACTCCAAAAGCACGTCTGTTGGCGGCTAAATGTGTGTGTGTGCTTGTTTTTTGGACACTGTTTTTTCCGGTCTCGGTATCAACCTCCCACGTGGGGTTTGCAGTCGACAAAAGAGGCGCCACAAACGGGAGGACACTAAATTTATCAATATCGAACCTCGACATGTGCACACAAACACGCCTGCCCAAGACCGCGCTGGTCAAGGACGGTCGAGTGACAGACTCGCCACAAGGCCAAAACCACAAGTACATTGTAAAACTCCAAGTACTGTAGCCTCGTCTCGCCCCGGCCCACCCCCCGCCCGTCGACTTCGACTCCGACTTGCACAAGCCACAATCCAACCTAACCCTTCACTCCAACCCAGCCTAGCACGACCCCCAGACCCATCATTCCCACTGACTACCCGTCACCAAACCCTTGAGCTGGCTACCGTAGGTGACGTAAGATATCACACCCCCTGTACCGATTTCGAAAGCTCGAACACTCCACGACGAAGAGGATGTACAAATCAAGCGGCATGTGTTCGGAAAGCTCTCGGCTGGACGGTTCAAACCGCCGCCATTATTGGCACCGCGACCAAAAAATAATATTGTTGTGTGGAGCAATCGACCTTTGAGATCGGTCCAGGGGGGTGTGATATCTTGCGTCATGTCACCTACGGTACTACGGCTCACCCTGTGGTGGTGAAGAATAGCCCCAGTAGCAGTCCCCGGAAGGGAGCGATGTTGGCCTCCACCTGGGTGCGGTAGTTGGTCTCCGCGAGCAGGGTGCCTGCGGCGAAGGCCCCCAGGGTGGTGCTAAGACCGATCGCCTCCGTCAGCTGGCCCATCCCGAGCGCCACAAGGAGACAGAGAGCGACGAACGTTTCCGAGCTCCTGGCGCCTGCCCCCCAGATCGCGTCGTGGTCAATGTCAGTCCAAATGTCGTCGGTCAAACTTAGTTTTGTTGAGTTTAGTTCGCGTGTGGACAGAGCGAGGCCAATCGTCTAACGACAACGGCATGCGTTTACATCGTGCTCCGTCCTCCCGAGGACGCGTGGTGAGTGGTCTAAACGCGAAGGCATGCAAAACAAACATTACTACCACCCCCCACCACCACCACCACCTCCTCTCTCACCCGCCACCACGTCAAACAAGGGCCGGAGGAGGAATCGCCCGGCCACCAGGATGCCGCCCAGGCCGCCAACACCCTTGGCCACCGTAAGGGCAACCAGCAGCAGCTGCTCCGAAAGCGCCGTGTCGGTACCCCCCTGCGTCTCGATGATGGGGAGGAGCACGAGCAGCGGCACGACTGCGATGTCCTGCAGGAGAAGGATGCCGAGGACCGCCCGCCCGAACCGCGCCGCCTTCTGCCCCTTTTCCTGTTACAGCAGACAGAAGAGAGTTCCAGCGCAAAAAAACATTCGCGATTCGTTCTTTTTTTTCATGCTAGATGGCACATTATTTAAACGATACCCCCCTTTTCCTGCAGAGATGGAGAGCTCCCACGCAAAATACACTCATCACAAGTTCAACTTTTTTGCTTCCTACTGTATAGCAATAAAATAGTTGCGACGGACTGATGGGGGTTTGTTTAGGTTGGCTACTTGATGTGTTCTAAATTAAGCGCACACGCTGTTTCCTGTTCGTTTCTGTGACTGAAGGGCATATGCATACGGTTTTGGGTTTCATGATGGGTCCCGCGTGCGTAGAATGGATACGCGCACGCAAATTTATGTGTGTTTACGGCAAATATGCGGCGTGATATCTGATGGGTGTGGCGCGCGCTACGCGATGATGCAGCAGTTTCTCCCACCTACGCCAACACTATGGGCGGCGGCGGCGGCGGCGGCGGCGGCGGGGGGTGGGGGGTGGTTTGTTTCGACGCCCAGAAAGGGGAGAACTGGGCCTGTGCGCGGGCGCACAAACGCGGAGGAACGACCGCCAGTTGCGATATTTCGTTCGAATTTGTTTTCCCCTTCGCCAGGCTGGTTTGCAGCAAACCCTCGCGGCAACAAGTTCTTTCTTTTTTCTCACTGACCTGTAAGATCTTTAGCACGAACGCCGAGCTCGAGAGGGACAGAGCCGCCCCGATCACCACGGCCTCGTCCACTCGACGGATGCTCACCAATTCCGCGGGCGAGTGGAAGACCACCTGCCGCAATCGGCGGGGCGGGCGGGAGCGACAAGCTGTTGTTGTTGTTGTCTTCACATTAATAACCGTTCCGATCTCTCTCTACTAGCCTGTACCTTCTTCTTTTTCCGTACTAGTCTAGCGCTTGGCACGGTCGATTCCCGTGGTCACAGGCTAATAAAACCTAAAAAATGTATCCTCGAATAAAGTGGACCCGAAGGGTCCGCAAAAGCCAACATAAATCAGCGACAGATAGTGCGTGCATGTTATAAAAAATAAGTAAACGCGGTGGGTGTGTATGTATGTCCACAACAGCGGCACGAGGGCGTCGAATCGTTGTACCTACACCTTCGTGCCACATATCCACCGAACAGTCAGAACCCTTTGGCAAGAACGCCAACATACATTTGGTCGGCCAGGGGACGCTCACTTGCTACGCACGTCAGCAACAACACCAGACTGTGAGTAACCGTCAAACGTCGGCCCCTTTCCGTGCCGAGCACCGGTGCGAACACAGCAAAGGAAGTCTCCAGTCAACCGCTGGTTCATCTCTACAGCAGCATAGCAGACACACTGACCGCGAGGAAACCATTGCAGCACTAGCACTTGGCGGGCCTTCTATACCGTACAGTACGGCAGCGCATTCAGCATCGTTGCCCACCGCCACCAGCAACTACCCTTTGGCTTTCCTAGTGTTCCGAGAGTCATGGCGCAAGCCCGACCCGAGAGGGGTCGTGCAAAAAAAAAAAACACTTGAGCCCCACCCGCCCGCCCCTCTAGATAATCTCGGGTAGCAAAAACAACACCTCGAACCTCCCCCATCTCTGGATATTCAAACGGTAACCGAACCCCATCTCCCCGTTGATTACAATATTGGCAACCACGGAGCTCGCTCCTACTTACCGTCTCTTCCAACCTCAACCTGGCTTGGCTCACCTCTAGTACGTCGACTCCTCCCAGAAACGGAAATGCGGCGAAAGCCAGCGTGCACAGCAAAACCTTTAGGGCAAAAAAAGAGCGAAAGGGGGGGGGGGGGGGGGCAGCAGCAGTTCAGCCAACATTAAAAAAAAAAAAACGAACGCGGACGGCAGCTTTTTCAGCCGCCCTGTTTTGTTTGGGTACCCTTTCTGTTGCCGCCGCTCCACGCAACAGCAGTACAGCAGTAGGGTTACGGCCTGGTCCGCAAAGAAGTCCTAGGTGTCGCTGCCAGGCGGAATCGTGGCCAATGCTCGTGTACATGGGTACATATACAAATCGAAAACAAAAAACGTGCACGGAGAGAGAGAGAAAGAGACAAGCCAGCCAAGGAGTGCCCGCAAGGCACACGTTTGGCACCTTTGTGATCAAAGCAAGTCTTGTAGTCTACGCAAAACGGCAGATGCTCAGGGAATGCTGGCACAGTAGCACCACCAGCGCTTCTCTGGACCCCGCTCACCACCAGCGGTATTTTCTTAAAACGCGGCTGTGGCTGTGTGTCTTGCATCTGCGAGAGTGAATGAACCACGTCAGGACGCTCCTGTTGGTACATAGCAGCACCAACTATAATTAATAGCGCACAACAACGCCGCGACGACGAACGAACCTGTGCCGTGCCCAGCCCGAACGCGTACTTGCTCAACGCCTTGAGCCTGTCGAGGCTGAGCTCTAGGCCTTGCTCGAACAGCAAGAAGCTGATGCCAAGCTCTCCCAGCGTGTCGAGCTCGTTCAGGTCCTTGATGACGCTGATCCCGGAGGGGCCTAGGATTGCTCCTGTCGCAAGGAAGCCAAGGACGGGACTGCGGCGAGCGGCACAGAAGAAAAGAGGCGAAGGATTTCTGTATCGTTACACAAGCACCGCAGGCTGTCGTCAGTATGATACTGCGCGGAGAGTTCGAACCCGGCGCGTAGACTAGAGGGTGGATTTCTATTACATAGGCAAGCGTCATCCCCCCTCCCCCCCCCCTACACAAACGCCAAAATAGCTTCGATCAAGCCGACAAGAGCGATGGCCGAGAGACGGACAGAAGGGGGTCGACAGCAGCCAGGAAAGGCATTGTGTCTTGCTTCGGAGGCATGCATACCACCGCCCAAAACAAACGCAGCACGGTCAAGCAAGCGCCAGGTGTCAGGATGCGGGAAAAGAAAGAGGGCTAAAAGTGGATCAAGATTTAAAAAACAGGGTGTATATACAATGCAGCAGTAAATAATAGATTTGCATTCGCGTTGTCACTGCTTATTTAGATGCTTTTACGACTTGTTTGTTTTGAATCATGCGTCGCTTCTATAAGACGAAAGCATGAGCACGGCGCACAGCAGTAGTAGTCTCCAGGCGTGCCTCCGCTCGGAACACCAAGGGACAACGAGCGACCGCCATTGTTGTACTGCTGTATTGTAAGCATACGAAATCGAATCACCAATCCGTACCTCCGACGTAACAAAGACAGATAACGGCCAGCGTGTTGCTGCTTCAGGTCACCTGATGTTGAGTTTCTTGCATGCAGGAACAACTGCGACTGTGGCCGCTAGAAACATGAGTGCATCTCTCCCCAGTGCAGTCAGCACGTCGGCAGCCATGCCGAGCGCACCCACTGCAGATTTCCGGCCTTGCCGTCCTGTGGCGGTTCGACCTTGACTCCGCCGCGGGACAAAAGCACTCGCTCCGATCCCAGCAACGGCAGTGGCGCTCCGATAGCTACTGCTGCTGCTGATCCGAGCGTTGCTTTCAAGCCTTGACGACCATAGTGGTGATGCAGACGCAGAGGCACCACCCAATCGTAGTCGGTGCGGCTGCTGCTGGGTTGTTGCAGTGCTGCTGCTGCTGGCGATGGGGAACCTCCTTGCAGCAGCGGATGATGGTGGTGATGTTGAACAGAAAGCGTCGACCCTGCTGGTGGCGCTTCCAGCGCAGAGGAGCACTGAGGCAGCCGCGGCGTTCATGACGATTCGCCTCGAGACCATCCGCTGCGGCGACCGCGGCCGTCTTCGACGACTCATGACTCTCTTGCGGGAAAAGTTGTGATGTGTTGGGAAAGGGCGGGAAGGTACCATGAAGTGATGCGGTGCTGCTGTGCTGCGGGCCGTTTGCCTTCGCCGACCAGCGACGCGGAACCAACCCGGAACGGCACTTGGGATTGCGCAACCACGGTGCCCCTTGCCACGCACATACACCGCATACATCACCTGACCTGCCTGATGCAGCCAAGAAGAGCAGGTTGAGCAAACCGCCACTGCTTGGGGAGTGGTGGCACCCCTCGGAGATTGTGATTACGCGTGATGATACCGGAGGTCGATTGTGAAAAGCAAGGACGGGATGATTCACATCAATTTTCACGCCGGCCTCGGCAAATGGCTGCGATACTGCTGTTGTATCTCTGACCAATCCCCGCATCCCCGCCTGGCTTCATAATAAGTTCTTGCGTGCTGCTGCTCTACCGCGAGGTTAAAATGCAGTGAGAAATTCCGTCGTTCTTTGCACCCTTTCTGTTGCATTTACAGTACCATCGAGGCTGGTGTGTCCTGTCGTCCGCACGACAAACCCATACCTTGGTAGCGTAGGTAATCTCAGGGACTGCAGACCTTCCACAAACAAACTGGTCTCACGCTCATCACCAACGGGGCACATTTCAAGCACGGACGATCCATCGTTTGTCATATGACAGTCTACATACGCTACTTCACACGCGCTCGCGTTCTAATTTTCTCCAGGAGCAGCAACAAACAAATAACGACGACAACAACAACGACAACAACAAGGAAGGACGATCAATCGTTTGTCATCATCACATGCATAGTCTATAGACTAGTCTGCTGCACAGCAGTCTACATCATGATACGCTACAGTATCACGCGATCGTGTTTTAATTTTCTCCAGCGAAACAACAAATCAACAGTAGCAACAACAACAACGACAACAACGACAACAAATTTCAGCAAAAGGGAACACTTGCATTGCTGGCATTCAAACAAAGGTCAAAACATGCAAAAACCTGCCAATATATCTACAGACCAGACCATCTACAAAAACACATGCAATAGATAGAGCGTTTGTTTTCAAAGGGACAAGGAGTCGAACCAAGGGCGCGTAGGAGCATTCTCCGCCACCGACGAGGAGCAGACCGTCCACATCGCAACGTTCCTCTCCTCTCGGAGCTGAGCCGTCGCCCTGAGAATGGCGAGGTAAGACGGGGCCCTGGAACCCCTTCCCCCTTCGTCGGAAAACACCCGGTGAAACACCTTGTTCTGCTGCAACAGCTTCAGCGCGGCGGCGTTGAGGAGGACGGCAAGCAGGGCCACCCAAAACGCAAGCATCAAGCCGCGCCAGGACTTCTCGCGGGGGCTGCGCAGGGCGACGGCCGTGACGACGAGCACAGCAACCAGGATCCCTTCAGAGCTCTCCCGGCGGCCGAAGACGACGAGACAACACAGCAGGAGAAATGCCCACGCGGCCACGGCGCAGGCGCACACGAGGGCCCTGCTGATCCACTTCGTCGCTACGACTGCGCTCCCCCCCTCTACTAATAATACCGCTTCGTTGCCGTGCCGGGTCGATGAAGACCGCGGGTCGTTTTCAGCCGCCACCGCCGCGGCCGCGGCCGGGGCTCGGGCGAGGTGCATGGTGCAAACCGTCGCCGCCAGCACCTCCAGCAGAAACGCCAGCCGTTCCGTGCACTCCTTCGGCCACGAGCAGATCGTGCTATAGGTCATCCAGAGCACGAAGGCGGGCAGCACGACAGGGGAGCAGACGACGCGCGTCGGGCCGGACCTGATCGAGGCGAGGACCCCACGCAGAGACAAGCCTGAGCCTTGCGCCGCCGGCGACGACGACGAGGACGGCGCCGCGGCCGAGGAGGCGTGCCCCCCCCCCCGGCTCATCCTCCGCCTCAGCCAGCCCTTGCGGATCACCGGGACCGCTTCGCGGCCGGCGGAGACGACGCTGTGGGTCATGCCAAGGCCCAGAAGCAACGCCCCGCCGCCTGGGTGCATGCATTGCACAGGGAGGCACGCGCGTGTTGGAACGACCGCAAAAATCTGCGAGGCTTGTCTTTGGGTGTCAATATACCGACGGTATTTATGAAGCACGTGGTACGGCTTTCCAGATACTACATGGGGAGGAAAATCTTGTCGGCGGTTGAAAGACTGCTGTTCGTGGAACAAGGGCAGAACTTTGCTGAAATGATCCACGGGTCTTGTGCCACCACCTTTCTCAGATTCTTCATTGCCATCCCCAGTTGAATTTGAGCTGCATATCTTTTGGCCGGAGCGAACTCCCAATGTTTCCCTCAAAACTCAAGACGTCTGCGCAGCATGCCACGTCGAGTCGCTCGGGTGAGCTCTCTCAGACAAAAGGATGACTCAGGGTTAGTTGGTCCGTGTCCATGCTCCACAAAGCACAGCAATGTAAAACGGCCTCATGGAGTGCTGCTCCGCCTGGTATATAGAGATGTGAGCGATAATTATTTCCTCGTCGACGCACCTGACACCACCGCCGCCGTGATGCACAGCCCGAAGACGAGGGAGGTGGCGAGGCACTCTTTCGCCGTTTTCCACCCCCAGCGCTCGCAGCGGCGGTCGACGCTGCCACGACGCAGCAAGCGGACGTCGTCGAGCTGGCACAGAAGGAACTCGCCAAGACGAGGAGCGACGCACTGAACGGCGGCAGCCAGGGAAAGCACCGCGAAGCAGGACAGGCACGGGCGGTAAAACTCCTTGCGGGGAAATTCTTCCTCCTTTTGTTCTCCTTCTCTCTCTTCGTTCTCGAATCCTTCGTCCCACACTCCTTGCAAGATGACCACCATCGCGAAGGACGCCACATACCTGCCGCCGCGGCCGGAAAAAGAAGAGCAAGGAGCAGCGGGTGATTAAGGAACCAAAACGCACCGAGCGTCTTTGATACGAAGATTCAGTTGTTCGCGTTACAGGTGCGAGAACTAACGTGCCATATATAATGGTACATGACAACTCCTCACGGCACACCTCGGCACCGTGGCCCCCGCTCTACGAAAACGTTGAGAGGTTGTGCATATCTGCGCACTCACGACTTTTCCGCCAGACACCGCCATGTACCAATCCTCCTTGGCTATTTGCGAAAAAGACACTAAAATGTCAGTCATTACAATTATTCTGCTGGAAACAACAGCCTAGGTACCGTTAGAGGCGGAGAGATGGGTCCGGGTGCGATCGTTTTTTTATTGTTTCTTCCTCGTTTTATAGCACTCCGGTGCGATCTCTCGCACCGGTGCGATCTCTCCAACTCCGTTGCGGAAATGCAATGGAATCATTTCGTTTGGCATTTTTCATGGCACCCCGGTGCCATCTCTCCGACCGGTGCGATGCCCAATGAAACACACACAGCGGGCCTACTGGTGCTCGGTGGTGTTGTTTGCACGCACCCCGGTGCCATCTCCCCGACCGGTGCCATCTCTCCGCCTTTTTACGGCAATCCCTAGGAGTATTGCCGGAATAGCCTTGGTAATTTTGATTAGTGATCGGATCATGGTACACATCTACCGGATATACATTGAATCATAGGATTATGGTGCATCGAACTTAGGGCGCCCTTGTAACGTTGCTACAAGTCGGAGTAAACCGTCTGCTACTGTGATCGGTACGTTGCAACAGTCCGTGCGCGCTTTCTTTCCAGGACGAGGGTGGATGACTCGCCCCCGTGGTGCTCACCCCCCCCCCCCCTCTCCCGCTCCCTTTCTCTTCCCTTACATACCTTTCGGGCAAATAAACCCCAATTCAAACCATCTTCTCTAGTCTACTCCCGTGAAACATCGAGACCCGCCGCGTGTAGCTCGCCTTGACGACGCGGACGTTTGCTAGATATGGCACCTTGGCCGGTGTCACTGCGATCCGATTGGCCAATGATGAGAACGACAGCAAGCGCCAACATCCGCTCTTACCCGGACGCGTTGAGGCTGAAGTGAGCAACGGCCGCGCGCACCAACGAGAGGTGCGCGTCCCCGAACGTCGCGACCACACGCCGGCAGGCTTCGACCGTGACGACCCCGCCCAAGAAGCAAAGAAGCGCGAACAGCACCCGATCACCACGCGGGGTGTTGTCCGCGAAGAAGAATCGGGCGCATTGCAGCGAAACGCCGCTGACGATGAGGGGAAGAAACCTCTGCCAAAGCGGGGCTGGTTGCAGACGACGCCGAGGTTGCCGCTGTTTTGCTTTCGTGCTGCCGCCAGTTTTATTTTTCTTCCCTGCTTTTCCTGTGAACGGTGCTGCGTAATCAGGTGGGCGAGGGGGGGTGGAGATGGCGGGTAACACGCTGCAGGCTGAGCAAAAGGTGCAAGACACATTGGTGGTACGTTCTCATCCCTTTCGTTCGTTCCAGAGACACGTACAAGATGTGTGGTGTGTTGTTTAAAATGGCGTTGTATGTACAAGCCGTGGTTGCTTTGCTCTCCCACGGCCATGAAATCGTTGGCAAGACCCCGTGCTAAGGTGTTTTCTCACACGCCGTGAGCCGGCCGAGGCCGTGCCACAGGCGCACGAGCACTCCCGATTACAGTTGCGGCTCGCGAATAAGAAACGACATCTCGGGGTCGAGACTCAATTTCTTATTTCGTCGCCACTGCTGTCGACCATAGGTTGTTATGGTAGCGTGTAGTGTAGGACCCACGGCTGAGGTGTGTTCTCAGTCGATTTTTCTTGTTTTTGGCGAAAGGCTGTACCAGCTCCGGACTTCGTTTTTCATACTTGCGGGCCGCAACCGCTGTACAAGAGCACGCGTTTGGTGGGTACAACAGCCACCGCATGAGATAGGGATGGCAGCACAAACTTTGCCCTGCGTTATAGCAACCATGCCCAAGCTTGCAGACAACACACTGCGTGATACCCACCATGCCCAAGGTTGCAGGTAGAACATGCTCCCACATGCACCCCTAGCAGTAGGAATAGCAGCAGTGTCATGGGACTAGAACAACTTACAACATAAACATGGTTGTGTCGAGAACAGAACCTCCGGTGGAATTGCAAGTCATGGCGTTGATGCGTGAGAAATGAGTGTGACATTGGCGCCAGTTCATTATCAAGTACTGCAACGGGCTGATGATGCCTTTGCGTGATACTTTCAGAACATACAAGAGGACCCTCCGAAAATGCACCGTGACTTGTGTCGGTAATATGCTAATGTTTCTGTAGCAAGAACAATGCGGGCACGACCGACATGCTGCTATAGCTTACAGGCAAGTTTATGTAGACGCCGGGAAAAAAAGGAGATGAGAAAAGACTACAACGAAGAGAATTGAAGGGGGGTGCATTCGGCTACGGGTCAACCCCTCAACCCCCTAGGGGTATTGTCACGTATTAGACTGCCACGGACACGCTGGATACACCACGATGTTGCCTTTGAACATCACGGGTTTAAGTATGCTGCAACAGCAACAGATGTGCCGATGTATGTGAGCCTGACTGCTGTTGCACCTTATAGTATGCACGATTCAACTGTGGGAGAGGAGGGCCAAGCATTCACAGACTTCCACAGATGCATGTCACCCCAATTGCTGCGGGTGTTGTTGTCTTCACATGAAAAACAGGTGGTGGTTTCTTGTCGATAATACTTCGTAATATTTACTTTTTTATTCGTGGCAGCCACTCACCGTTGCTGGGTTCGACATTTGGTTTGCTATTTTTCGTTGCGAGACACAGCAACACAGACGTGCAGCGATCGGCTGTCATTGGGTCTTAGGGCAGTGGAGAGCGGAGACTTTGGGGCTAATGTATCACGGTTTAGAGCAAACCCTCTCTGATCAAGGGTTGAGAGAACAGGTTATCCCGCACACACTTCGGTACCCCCCGGGAGGGCCCGGTTATACATATATTTTTCTTCTTTTTCCCATGTTTTTGTGTAGTTTTTGTTCATCGTATGCATCAGTGGTGCAAGTCAAACCTGTTTAACCTGTGGTACACAGATGAAAAGACTGTGTGGCACTAAATTTCGCCTTGAATGCCTGCGCTAAGAAAGTGTTGTTGGAGAAACACACAACATTCACACCACATCCTCGAACCAAATTTCAGTGACTCAAAGCCCGGGGTAGAATCACGCCTCCACGCGCGTGAACGAAGAAACCCAAAGCTCGACGAAAACCGCGGTACATGTGTCATGTAGGAGCTCGCAAGTAGCTGGTGGGAGTGTTACGTTCGCGTACCGTTCCGCCAACCACCTTCCGACTTTCATTCTCGCACGCAAAACTACGCCAACCAAAACGAATGCCGAAAAGGGGTGGGTTTACGCCCCGTTGAGCGTACGTCCGGCTCCTCGTCTTCCTTTTCCCTACCCTCCTCCTCCTCCTCCTCCCTCCCCTCGTCCCCCTCCTCTTCGTCCCCTTCCTCCTCGTCTTCTCCACCTTACTTACCCCGACCCCTACCCCCCTCCCTCCCTCTCTTTTCTTCGCACTGCCCTCTCCGCTTCTTCGCTGGACTCCAAGTCTACTTCTACGTGTACTGCGCGCGCCGAGAACATTTGGGGATTGTGTGTGTACCCCAGCGCTTAGCAGCAGACGCCGACAACCACCGACGCTAAAGTGTGTGATGCTGAAGTCTGTGGTTCCGGCAAGATACCGCATAATGGTGCTTCGCAGCACCCATGTGCACCTTCCCTGGCTTGGACATCGCGCGTGCAGGCTGGCTTGTAGCGTGTACACGACGTCGCACCGAGTAATCTGAGCGAGTTACATGATCGACCCGGTGACGAAGATCATCGATGTAGAAGCATCGAGGTGATAAAGGGATAAAGAAGAAGTTCACAGAGCAGTTCCAGGTGAGTGACTTGGGGGATGTGTCACTTGTGCTAGGAATGCAAATCAATCGCGATCGTGAACATGGAACGCTCACCATCACTCAAGCCGACTACACATACATAGTCTATTCTTGCGCGCTTTGGTATTGAGAAATGCAAGGCAACGACTATCCCAGGATTTGGTTCAGAGCTATCCACGGAGCATCCTGTCGAGACCCTTCTGAACAAGGAGGAAACGCAGAGATATCAGGCCATCACTCGATCGATCATGTATCTCGCTCATATTATTCGGTGCGACGTCATGTACGCTACGAGCCAGCCTGCACGCGCGGTGTCCAAGCTATGTAGCGAAGGTGCACATAGGTGCTGCGAAGCACCTTCTGCGGTATCTTGTCGGAACCACAGACTTCAGCATCACATGCAAGCGAGGAGACTCCAAACTGACTGCATTCTTGGATGTAAACTGGGGTAGCAACCCGGACAACGCTATCAATTTTATCATACATCATGATGATGTCAAAAGCCCCCGTGAGCTTCAAGACGGTCTACAAAGCTTAACGGCAATGTCGACCATGGAGGCGGAGCTGATTGCTGCAGCTTTGACAATGAAGGAAACGGTATTCTGCTCCAACATGATGGCTGAGTTAGGGTGCGGACAGCAGTTGGGTCACCCTCCACGTCATCGGGAATCAAGCTTACAGTTCCCGTACGGAACACATCGCCATACGTTTATTCTATGTTCGAGAGCTGGTCAAGGAAGGCGCAATCACCATCCACTACATTTCTTCCGATCATCAGCTCGCCGCCATCGGGGCCGAATTCCTGAGCAAGCATCGCCTTCGTCTTCTATTCGACCTCATCAAGAACATACACATGTTTGATCTACCTGTTTTTAATATTGTTTATTTGTGTACGCTCATTTCACCAGATATTGCTGTCAGCTATTTTTCTGAAACGGTTGTTAAAGCTTCGCAGGTTGTCGCAGGCAACGTTAATTGAAGGGGGGTGTTATTGAAATGCCTGCCCATCTCCTTCCTTAGTTAATGTCGTGACGTATCCTTTGTGTCGATTGGAGCATGACGTTTGCAGAGGGACTCGTTGTTGTAAGTAGTCTGTCTCACGATCTGTCGTTCGGTGCTCGACCTCACTCTTCGGGATCTCTCTCTGTGATCTATCGGACTGTCTGGGTACCTCAGCTGTCCTTGCTGTACCTTGGATGCTGCTGGCATATGCCTACACTACAACCGTCTGTCTGGTGTATCTGTCTGTCTTGGCCACCTAAGCGCCGTGTTTACAACAGAGCATGTCTCCATCTTTTTCTTCTCACTGAAGTACAAGCTCCACGAGCTATCACATCGAATCAAGCGTCGGTGGGCGTCAGCTTCTGCTGCTACGAGCTAGGGTACACACACAGTCCCCACAACAGACAACACTTTTGGCTGTAGTCTTGCGCTGCAGCAGCCTAGGCTAAACCTACGACACCCCCTGAGGGTGCGGGGGTCATGCTCTCCCTCTCGTGGTCTCGGCTGTAGGTGTGGTACGCCGTACAGCGGACAGGCGAGGCGAGCGCGGACAAGCGCGCACGGCTAGGGGCACGCTGCTGCACAACAACCCTAGTAGACAAGGTGCCCCGTTTTATATGTAACGCCCCCAAAATCCTCCCAAATAGAAAACTTCTTTTTCTCGCACACCCTTGCGCTGATGCACCCCTCGCTACTTTTTCGGGATAAAAACGCACTTTGGTTTGTATGCTTCTTATTGATGCGATGGACGTTTCGCCCAAGACACCGTTGTTTCCATTGGTGGTCACAAACAAACGCACGCGTGCACGCGAGTTTGGATATTTTGAGTTTCTTTGCGTTCCTCCGCCTGCCGCCTGCCGCCTGAGCTGAGTATCCCCTCATGACAAGGGGCTTCATGCTTTATGACAGCCCAGAGTTTTTTCATGATTTCATGATTTGGAAGGGGCTTTCTCTCTGACCTCCGAACTCCGAACTACAGGACTCATACAATACGCCCGTTGGTCGTTGGAGGGACAAACAACGGTTCTATATGCTTGCAAGAAGGTGGACAGCTGGGTTGCGTATCCAACTGGCACACGCATGACGTGTGTCCAGGACACACATGCACATGATCGCGACTGCTTGTTGTTCTTGGCACGTACGGGGCACACTTACATGAGATCCCTGGCTTGCCGTTGCTCCGTTCAACGTTAACGTTGGACAACACGCCCACCGCCATCAGGTAGCCACCACCTCTTGCAATCGACGTGGCCCAAGAAAGTGTTGTGCAGCGTCCTTAGATAAACACTAGGGGAGGTTTGAACTCCGTGTCTAGTTAGGGGTTGCGAACAAACCAAGCAAGGTTGTGTGTAGCGCAGGCAACATATTCCAACGGCATCCGAACTCCGAACATCCGAACAATCCGAACGTTCGGAGATCCGAACGAGACTGTCGGAATCTACCAAGGCGTGAGAGGGATCTACGAAAGATATCTCCGAAGGAATCTCAACAATCTCCGAATAGAGCGACGCTGCCTGTCGTCCATTTTCTCCCTGTGTCTGCTGTTCCGGATAGGCAACCGGGACAGGTACAAAGTAGTTCGAGCTTGACACACAATCTCAGCCTTTTGTATCATTTACTAATGCAGCAGTGGGCACTCCCACAGAAAGATACGACTGGGAAACAAAGACGGGTACTGCTCTATGTATGATCAAGAAGTGATTCTTGCCTGCCTGGTCTTCTGTACCAGGTATCAGCAAGAGGTAGAGAACAGGACGTCTCCCGGCAGGACAAACTTGCTAGGCTAGATTCGCTGTGTAGTTTCCAGGTTGTTCTCGTGAGATGATACTTTCAGCTTTCGGAGGAATTAGTCGCACGTAAAACGAGGTTCTCCGCTCAGCTCACGTATTTTTGGGGCTGCTGCAGGCAAGTGATACACACACACATCGCCTGCGCGTACATTCTGGAGAAGAACTACAGTAGTACACATACACATACATGTACATGAAAGAACAACAGAGAGGGAGTGCGGATGCGGTGGGGAGATGGGCCCGAAAGAAAAATTACTCAGTCTACACTTGCACCATCAGCACCAATCTTCATCCACAAAAGCAGTAGGAATGGCGCTTACTGCACGTGTGTTTCCAGGTGGGGGACTGAATGCACGCATCAATTGCACGGCCTTCGTCTTCAGAGCTCCGAACCTCCAAATATAGAACGCCAGACGAACCATGCTGGGTCGCTACCGACTGCCGATATGTAACCTTGCTTGCGCCGAAGCCGGGTTGTCTCCAATGCACATGATGGTGGCAGTACCTCGCGGGTATCGAGCACCAGACGTGGAACTGGATACAGATGAACGCCGAAAGCACTTCGAACCATACCAGCCTGCCTCGAGAAACCACGACATTTGTTACAATTTTAAGTGCGCGTGCAAAATTGAAACAAGAACGTCATCACCCAAAAACTAAACAAAATGCAATCTACCTACAACCAAAGGCGCTTTGGAGAAATGTTTCATCTGTCTCTCAAAAAAAAAGTCTCCCGCCGCGCGCAAACGCGCAAAACCTATCGCCGCAATCTGTGCTTGGCCGCATGACGTCAAAGACAACCTCCATGCCTTGGTCGTTTTCGTTGAGGAGAGTCTACCCCGGACGAAACGTTCGTCTTCGCAGAAGCCATGAACGTATCACGAGATAGATCAGCTTATCGGCAAAATACAATTTTTCTTCGTGAGAATGCGGGCAGCGACCGACCACTCGCCCGGGGATAAGATTTCCAAGCACCGCCTATGACGAAAGCCCTCCTCGAAAACCTACTCCTGTTGAACGACAGCGACAGCGGGTGTGCGTGATAAGATGCGTTGCAGAAAACACCGCCAACTCCCAGACAAACAGCGGAAGTGCCCTAACACGACAAAGCGCCAACGAGCGAATTCAAGCGACCGAGCAGAGACCGCGCAGATCCAACACAACCCCCACTAACCACCGCAACAATATTCCCTTGTGATCCTATCCATACAAGCAGCAAGCAGCAGCAGGGTTCCAACGCAGCTAAGGTACACGTCGTCAACCGCAGCAGCTCCACAGCAGTCATTCGAGATTCCGAAACAGGAACTTCTCGTGATTCCGCAAAACACAGGGCGCGCACAGGCATGCAAAAAAAAAAAAAATACACGCGTGCTCTCCGTTTTCCCCCCAGGCAAAAACATAAATTCCCCCGCAGGGCCGGCACGCACGATTTTCGGGATATGCGTCTGTTCCTCTCTCTTCTCTCAAACGAGGGCTAGAAAGCGGCGCAAGCTTCCGTCCGGCCGAGCGGCCTCCCGGGGGTCGTAGCTTCCCCCTCGTCCCCTCCCCCCCGCCGCCCCTGCCCCCGCTGCACTAATGCTCCCCAAGAGGGGGTCCTGGTCGCTATCGTCGAAGCCCATGCCGGCGCCATCTGTGTCCGAGTTGGAAAGGTCGCCGCTCGTGCCCGCGCCGGCGCCGCCGTTTGCGACCGACCTCCGGAAGCGGTGCCGTCGAGGGGTCTTGAATACGCGCGAGAGCTCCCTGGTCACCGTGCGAGAGGGGGGAGGGAGAGAGGGAGAGAGAGAGAGAGGAAAGACGTTGGACATAGAAGCAAGGACGGGGGACAATCCCGCCCTCTAAACGAGGCTGCCCATGCCCAAACCAAGGCCGCGGTAACATCAACCAAACAACCAAATAACCTTCCAGTCCAAAACATCGGCCGGCAATGTGCACGCGTGACAAGCTGCTGTTTTGTTAGCGCAGTCGATGCTAACAAACACACACACACCACACACAGCAGCGTGCACTAGGCCCGGACAACAGAGAGAACAAGCTAGAGGTGTAGCTGAAAATGATTTTCCAACGACAACGCGCCATGCTTCATGCTTCGGTACCATACGATTGGCGCACAGGCAAACACTCCCCCCATGTCGCGCTACTCTCCGTAACGATCAGTACTCGGGCGTTTACTTTTGCCGGGACCAGGTGTTGACACGGGTAAGGTCACCCCCACCTGTTCTGCTTGGCCCTGAGAAGGTTGTTGCTCCCTCGCCGCTCCAGCCCCTTGGCGTAGATAGTCACCAAGAGACCCACCGCGATCACGATTCCCCCGCAAACCTCGTGCCCCCTCACCGCCGTGTTCAGGAACACCACGGACAGGATAACGGTGGTCACCGGCTGCAGGGTCCTGTTGTTGTTGTTGTTGTTGTTGTTGAGTGGTAGCAGTGCCATGGTCGTCGTCGGCGAAGTGGGAGAGCGGAGCACAAACGGCGTACGGGCCAGCAAGACACAAGGGGCCGCTGGTGAGCGACGGGTCGGTCTTCTGCGGGGTAATGGCAACAGCAGCCCTTGCCGTTGGCTTTCGTCACCCGCACATGATTAATTCTCTTGTGTGACACTTTCGTGTCTTGAATGGGAAGAAAAAGGGCGCCAAGCGTGAGCAAAGCCTGGAGCCTGAAAGGACACGAGGGAATCTCGGTGAATCTGCTCTCCCGTGACACGCAACACCGTGAAAGTCATAACTGCTGCCCGTCACTTCCCGCCGCCCCGCCCCCCCGCCCCCCCCCTCCCACAAACATCGCCACAAAACCCCATGCCACCTAGAAAATAACGAAGGTACGATTGTTGTTACAACTCACAGGTAGGTCGTGGCCGTCGTGGTCGATACGATGTTTAGCACCCATGAGTAGGCGTTATACGTGTAGACTGTTCCCACCACCACCGCGTACACGAGAGCTATCCACGGCTGCCCTCGTTCGAAACAAGACACACGTTGAGGGAGGACGGTGTCCAGGAGAGTGGAAAAGAGAGCGTCCACAAGAGTTCGAAAGAGCGGCACGGAGAAGCACACAGGTCGAAGCGCGCCAGCGGCGAACCGGGTTATACCATAAAAAGTAAATTGCACAAATACCAACATCACCGCCACTACACCACTACCGTACCACCAACACGAAAGCAACTATAAACAACGGCAATAGCAGAAGCAGCAGGAAAAACACCAACACCAACACCAACAAACATGACGAACGGAGGCGAGAACTGCGGCTTGGCGCAGCGGTCGCCCAATATAAAAGACAGACAAAAAAATTCAGCGCGGCACCCAGCTTGCTCACCTCCCACTGCCCCGTGAGCAAAAAGTCGACCGGCCGCACACCGAAGAAGCCGCACACGACCAGCGTTAGCGCCGACCCGACGGCGTAGTACCACGCCGTCAGGGTGGCGGGGGGGTAGACCGCCAGCATCGGCTTCTGGAGTACCATCAGGGCCGCCATCGACCCGCACTGCTCGTCGTCGTCGTCGTTTTCGGAGAGAGAAAAAACGTATTTTTGGGGCGAAAAAAGAAAAACAATCGTCAAGAGAACGTCACGTCTTTTACACAAACCAAGCACTCAATACACAACCGTGCACAATGGAAGACATCTATAAGCAGCAGGAAGTGCTACTTGGTGGCCTTGAGTCTTCTCCTTTTGACAGTTACTTTTGGTCTCGAAACTGGACCTTGCCGTCCAACTTCGTCCCCCCAGCCGGGTAACCCCCATGACAAGAAATATTGTTCGCGATCCTTATCCCGACATGATCAGACTGAAATATTTTATCATTGGTCAGCCGGTTAGCGCGGTCAATGCTAACAAAAGAAGCACGCACAGCAGTGGAGGCACGTCTGGTACGTAGAGATCTTTCAAAAGAGTCCCGTCCCTCGCAACAGTCAGTCGAGCGAGTTATGGCTGTGAATAGGGTGGTGTTGTTCCTGGATTTCATCGATGACATTGGCTCTTCTGCACGAACTACAGGCCAGCCGCAAAAAAAAGAATTGCTTCAGTCAAAAGACGCGCATCCACGCAATAAAAAAATCGTTGGCGTGTCGTGTCGGGGATTATCGGGGAGACTTCAGAGAGCAAAAACGTTTCAGAAAATATTCTACCAGCAGCAAAAAAAGCAACAACAACACCAGGAGCATCCATCAACAACAACCACACACGACAAATAGACACCCGGGTTCTTACCCTCCTCCCACCGACATCACGATCTGACACACACAGCCATCGTCGGCTACATCCTTGACGGGAAGCTGGTTTGTTGCACCACCGTCGACGAGGCGCACTGTATCACCGAGGCGGTGGTCTCAGATACGCGAGGCCGCCGCTTCGATGATACAGCGTGCCTCGTAAACGGTGGTGCGAGACACCAGCTTCTCGTCAAGGACACAGCCGACGTTCGCTGTGCGTCGGATCGTGATACTGGTGGGGGGAGAGTGAAGGGGGGGGCGGCGAGCTGGTTGAGCAGAGCGCGTCTAGCACGCTCTCGAGGCTACTCTCACAGACGAGAGCAACAAACAACAGCAGCAGCAGCAACAACAACAACAACAACAACAACAACAACAACAACAACAACAACAGCAGCAGCAGCACGGCGTGGAACGATGAACACACGTCGCACGTGGTGGTTGTGTCGCGACCGGTACATAGAGGAGGACAAAAAAGAGAGAAAAAGATGGGTGCAAAAGTCAACAAAAAAACAACGGGGTGCAATTCATTTGCCTCAACACTTGAAGCAAGCAACGGAAGCAACGGATGTTCAGATCAACAACCTCAGATGTAAAACCGCGACTGTATGACATCGTTTCGAGCGTAGTCGGGTATGCGGCCTGTGTGCGGTGTAAAGAGGGGTCAAGGCACTAAGTGGTACACACCAAACCGGTACTGCCCCCCCCCCCCCGCTCTGTCACCTACCGCCAACACGTGTGCCACAGTAACATTAGGCTTCTCCCGCGCCACCCTAATCCCTAGGCTTGACCGCGACAACGTTTCGAACGGAGTGCGGTGCCGGTGAATCAAGCTCGCCCCTAGTCCCCACGCCAAACTCCGTTCCAACACATGAACAAAAAAAAACGCCGGGGATCTAAATATGGGCCAGAAGGTGTCATACACGCATCAAAACGATAAAACACCCTCGGTTGTGTCACCCCCACATACCCCACCAACGAACCTGCCAAAGCAAGATGAGGCTCCCGAGCCACCCCGACCCCGCCCCGTCGGCACCGCTGCCAGCCCCATCTCCTGACGGGGCCCCTCCCCCCTCCGCTGCCTCCACCGCTGCCGCTACCGCCTCCGTCGACCCAGCCACCGCCCAATCAGAGGTAGACGCGAACAGCTCAACCCACACCGCCCCCGCAACCGAGATGAAAACTCCCAGGCACTTGAGCTGGGACATCTGTTCCAGGCCCAGCATGTATGACAACAGCTGCGGCCGGAATTTTTCGGCATTTCAGAGGAGAGAAGAGGGGTAGGGGACGGGGGTCGCACGATGGTCCCAACGGCCGTGTGGAGAAAGAGAGGTGCGGGCGGGATGCAAGCTCTGGAACAAAAAAGGCGAACCACTTTTCACTCAATCAATGGGATGGGGCCCTTTTTTTAGAAGGCTGAAATGATGAGCCGCTCTGGTGGGTTTCGACACAGCAGTTGGCCCCTTGCGGGGGGGGGGGGGTGAGACGGGGAACGCCGACGTCATTCGGCCGATCTGCAGAAAGTACGCAACTGGGGTGTGTAGCAGTGGCCTTCGCCGACGCGGGCACCGCTGTAGCGGGTCGGTGTGTGTTGATGGTGCTTGCACCGTCATCTGAGATAAAGACATGATTGCTCGGCACCGTTGGCCCGATATAAGGTCGTCACCGGCTTGCTACACATCTCTCGCACTAACGACAACGACAACAACCGAAAAAAGAGCGGGGTCTGTCTCGTCTCTCACCATGGCAAGGACTGGGATGGACGGCTGCATCACCCCGAAAGCCATCGGGTTAAGGGTCCTGCCGTGGCCACATGGAGAAGGAGCAAAAGGAGGGTGCGCGGTTTCGCCGTAGCAATCCCCGCGGGGGAAGGGGGAGAAGCGGAGAGGAAGGGGGAGGGAGGGGATGGGAGCAGGGCGACGGGGGTACTTGTTGAAAGTAGCAGCAAAATAAAGTTCGGAACGAACCCCAGCGACGGCGACCAGAGAGCACGCCTTACGTAGGGCCTCGACAACATGCACACGGAACATTGCTCCCAAGACCGACAAACGAAGCAGCGTCTATCTATACCCGCTCATCACACAGACAGGGGAAATGCATGCGTGGAGGGCAACAAGCACATGGCAGCAGAGATAGAGACGCAACGCGACAGCACATTGTTGGGGGCAACAGCACATGGACCGTAGAGCGAAGAGTGAATCCTGCTGTGTGATCCCGGCGTCAATAGAGCATCTGAAAGGTTAGACAATTTAGGCTGAGATAGAACACAGATAGGAAGGGCCAAAAGGTGCTATTGAGGGTAACAAAAGTGTCAAGGTTCGCTCAAAGCAGAGAAAAACGCCCGCGCACTACATAGGACAACTCTCTTCCGGGGGGAACGCAAACGAGAACATCATATGGGAAACAAAAAAAAAGAACCAGATCAAAGAACACAAAGAAACGTACATCGATTCTCATACCTGAGGGCGAGTATGCAGCCGACCACGTTCCCGCAGCTGGCAAACCCCATCCAAAAGAACCGAATCGCATGCGCCGGGTCTAGAGACACGGCCCCGTCGACTCTGATGTTCCGGCAAAGAAAAAAGGGTTTGGGGAAAAGGAGGCGGGGTTTGGGGCGGCCGGGGGGGGGGGCGGGGAGGAAACCGCTCGACAGTAAGAACGAAACGGAGATTTCTTGAGGCGGCGTGCCTACTGCCTACCTCGCCGGGGTCAAATTTACGTCGACCGCGCAGGAAATGTCCAGACTGGCCACCGTTTCTGCTTCTGGCAAGCGACACCGCCAGTGTTTTCCAACCGCGTGCCCTTTTAGGAATTTTGCCACGCTTCTTTCTGGCGAGAGAAGCTGCGTGCTTGTCCTTGCTTCCTTCCGTAAGATGTGTTGTAAACCAGCAACAACAAATGCTGCGTTGATGGGTTGATGGATTTGATGACAAGCTGGCAGAAAAAGGATTAGGCATGGGATGCCCCGGGCCAGACACGCTTTGGCCGGAGGCGGCGGAAGCTAGCTGGGGGTACACGAATATAGCTCACGACACGTACGCATTTCACAACCTATGGAACCGACCGACTAAATAATTTGCTAACCTCAGGGTGGTCTTGCTGGGCGGAGCTCGCCGCTGTGTACAATTACAATGCATCGGAAAACTCAACAAAAAAACAATTCGTTTGGCAGCAACATGCGGTGGCGGTTTCTGTTGCTTCGTAGGCTGTCATGATCGACCCGACAAAGAGCAAACCCCTCACGTTCCAACTTCCGTAGATGTCTCTACAGACCGCATGAGCTATCTGCATCAAGACATTTCACTCTCTAACACGCCAACACGGAGAGGGCTTGCTGTTGGTGTATCTTTTGACGGCATGCCCCAAGTCGCCGTTCTATTCGGCCGCTGCTGCTGCTGTTGCTGCTGGGGCCGCCTTCGCGCGATTGATAAGGTAATGAGGCAGTATAGCAGGGAGGGGGTACGCAGATCCTATCCCTAACCCACCTTCCCCGATCGTATCCTTTATCCAACATGTTTACAAAATTCGAAAGATGCTGCGAAAACTACTGCTGTGCTGCTGCCGCTGCTGCCACTGCAACCACGCAGCAACAGCAGTGCAAGCACAAGCTTCGGTTGCACCTTCGCGCGATGATGAACATAAGGATGGTGGCGCAGATCTCTCTTGCCATGGCCAGGGCCACGGCGTTGACTCCGTCGTTCAAGGCGACCTTCGCCAGCACATGCCACCCAGAAAAGCACACCTGCGACACGACACAGTCAACCATAATATCAGCAGATGCGACATGCACAACACACACATGTTGTTATTGTTGTTGTTGTTGGTGTTGTTGATTTTGTTGTTGTATTGTTGTCGTTGGTGGTGGTGGTGTCTAAGGATTCGATTTTGTATTGTTGACTTCGCAGGAAAACCTCCTCAGTACAAAACGGTGTGTAGCCTGACAACCGTAATGGTCCAACTGACGCGGACGCCTTGCGCGGCCACAGGCCAACCAAAAACATGCGACACAACAAGTTGTTCGTGATTACGAGCACACACGTGTTCGTGCGGATAAAAAAAGAAACCAAGGGCGATCGCTGCTGCTGCTGTGTGAGCAGGTGTCACTTGGATGACCTTTGGGGAAACTTCGGCGGCACACCTCCCTCACATGTAGTGCCTATCAAGGAATAATAAAAACACACACAGAAAGACTACCCATTCGAGATGTACCCACAGTCGAACGGGATGTGGTGGAGCCTATTATAGTGGAAGGTTTCATACAGCCTTGCGAGCCTGCTGAGATTGAATATGCATACGAGTACGAAGACGACCAGAAAACAGAAGAAATCCTGCCGAAAGTCGAAACGGCATACTGTTGAACCCCCCACCGGTTCCGTTCTTCTGTTTTGTTTTTCTGGGAGCGTATGCATAGAAATTGATTGCTGGGGCTGCGCCCTCAGCAGACGTTCATAAGGAAGGGACACGGACAGCGCCACTGCTGTCATAGGCATACGCGCGCGAAAAAAACACGGAACCTTTTGAGTCAGTTCCTCGGCGATGGGAAAGCTTCGTATTGATGGTTGACGTACAGGTCTTCTGGCTACTGCCCACAGTACATACAATACATATACAGAGTAACAGAAGAAGATTCAATATATCGCTCATTTAGTCTACATACGGGTATGGTATGTTGTTGTTTTTGTTGTTGTCTTCACATTAAAAACCGTTCCGATCTCTCTCTACCCAGTACCTTCATATGCCCGTACTGATCCAACACTTGACGCGGTCGATTCCCGTGGTCACAGGCGAACTTACCCTAAAAAGGTACGCTCAAACAAACTTGGTATGCACCAGAGGGTGGATGTTCTCAGTACTTCGTGTATCGCTCGCTACAGGTGACAGCAGAATCACGTGTGTGACACACATCAGATCACCATCCCCGCACCAACGAGAGAGCATTCGGTCCTTTGAGGCATGGGGTTATGGGGTTTGGCACAAGGAACTGGACTGTTGACCCTTCTCCGGTGAAGCAAGAAGGGGCCACAGAGAAAACGAGAGTCGCAGAGAGAAGCGAGAGCCCTGAACGCGATGCCCGCAGATCAAATTCATCTTCTCGTTCTTGTCCATCTTATGCTATAAACAGCAACAGCAGCATATTTTAGGGGCTGCGAAGGGTCCACCTTGGAGGGCTCCAAAGCTCGCTCGCCCACGAGCAGCTCGCGGCTGGAGAAAACAGAGCTGCAGAGCTACGCGGCACGCACCACCATTGACCATTGCAACAAAGACACAAGACAGCAGTGGGACAGAAGTTTGAGCTGTGCTTGCAGAATAGGAGGAGAGCCCACTGGCAACAACTCGATATTTATGTAGACACTTCCAGACACTAACCTGTACCGAGAAGAGGACCAAATGCACGAGCGCACTGTTCGGCTTCTCTCTGGCATCCTTGTTCAAGCACGAGACGGGACAGATGCCCCCCTTTCCCATCCTAGACCTATGATGCGGGCAATGCTCGTTGGCGTTCGACGAGATGGATCATCTGCTGTCTGTCCGCGCTGCGCCAGAGGGGACCGGCAGACCGGTAGATTGATACTCACAGGGCATGTACGGCTGTACACGCGATGTGTTCTGCGGAGCCTCGTGAGAAATAATTTGACCGCATTGTCCTGAAACGGTACAAGCAAGGCCTTCGTTGTTCGTTGTGGCCGATGTGCTGTTGAGCTGTTGAGGCTAAGAAACTATTTGGAACGTAGGCTCGCACGTTTGTACGTGCGTGATGCGGGTGAACTTGTGGGTACGCTGATCCAAAAGGCAAGGGTCTTCGCCATAGGACTGTTTATTGCGTACGAGTGAGAGACTCTCGATCCTCCTCTGTACATGTAAAATCCGACGGACCGTTGCATCGCGCCTCGATACCAGCACTACTCTATGTAGACTCGCCGACGACCTGCTGCGCGGAACTGTTGCAAGCGCCCTTCAGTATCTCCTCGCACTTGGTACGTCTCACGCCTCTTACGATTACAACAAAGGCGCGTCAGACTGAATCTTCCGCCGAGGTACCATGAAAGCTGCCGACTACCGTATACCATGGGGTCGACCGAGCGAGCACCTCCTCGCCGTGAAACGTGAGGTCATCGGCCAACAACTCCACCTGCGACGAATCGAGGACGCTCGGAATCGAAGCACAGTTGACACCGAGCCCCCCGAGTGCGCTGACATGCCGCATCTTATCTCCAGACCAAAGAAAAAGAAGGTATGTCTCTTCGGTATAGGCTAGCCTAGCGGACGGAGTGTGTGTGCAAGCGAGAGAGTCGGGTGTAAGCGATGTATCAGACAACTCCGGTGCACACGGGTGGAATAGGTGAGGGTGCACAGTGCTGTTGTGTGCTCATGGATCGCATAAAGTGTTCGAGGTTATCACCAGCGAGACGTCAATTCTACACTGCCTAGCCGGCTGCGGGTTGAGACATACATTTGAGAGCACACCATAGCCTACTTACTGTACACACAAGATCGGAGCGCATCAGCATCCATTCATCCATTGTTCACTCCCCTTCGCGAGAGGCTGCTCACATTGTAACCGTTTGGTGGTCGTGTGGTTCATACTTGTACCGCGAAGAATCAAATAGATGCCCCGCAAAGGAATGCTCCCCATGTGTGACACCAGGCTCTTTAGTCAGAGAGGCGAGGCCGTAGGGTACCCAGCAGTGAGGCACTGCGAAGACAGAAGACAAATTGGATCGCGAAAAAAAGAGGGAAACATGAGTTGCTCGTCGTGTCTCTTCGAAGGAAAGGGGGTGGCGGTGCCGTTGCTACTTGGTGTGATTCTGAAGCAACACCATTCACATTGATTGATATCGAAAGCGATCCGCATGCTCGCTTGCTGTAGAACTCCTAATAATTATTTTCGCTTCTTCTCACACTACGAAACTCTAACATATCTTCGTCTTCTTATCTTTGAACTCTCGACCCTTCAATCGTTTCGTTGACAGATGCAAGAAGACAGACAACGTGAGATTGCTGCCGAAAATTACTCACTCATGCATCGTTTAGCCAGCATCATGAAGGAGGAGCGGAGGGATCCCGTTCGAAAGTTCGCGCACCTTTCCGTGGAGTACCGAGAGAGCTTGCGAAGGAAGAAGCTTCTCAAGCTCGAGGTGACCGTCCCCTCGAACATCTCACAACAACCATAGAGAGAGCCCGCTAACCCCCCGGGCACAAGACGGCGCCAAGTTCTGCTTGTACATCGTCTAAATGACGACTGACTCGCCTATCATACATAGAAAGCTTGACATCGCCAACGGATGATCGATTCCCTGAGAGTACACCCCACTGCTAAGTTTTACGAGAGACGGCCTCGACCACGGGACCGACGCAGTTGTATATGAAGCACGTATGTTGGAGCATTTCGTCGGTGGGATTCTTGTTCGTGTGTACAGCGTACGTCGTACCGCTACCACCGGCAACAGTTCCGGTAGTAGCGAGTGCTGCTCGGAAGCTGTTATCAGTGAGCATGTGTAAGTCATGGTGCAAGGTCAGGATCGCCTAGCGCCTGGAGCTCTCCTATCCGGACCAAGTTGGACAACCTGACGAAACATGTGAAGAACACTGAAAAGTCCACTATCACCATTGTTCGTTGGTTGCAGTAGTGCCAGGAACATTAACACTTGTTAATGTGCGTATCACTTTTTCTATTTCCAACAAGCTGAAGTACAACGTGTCGTAGTCAACCGCAAACCATCTCGCTGTACACACAAATCTGTCACGACCGTTCTGTATACATGCAACCGATGACGAACGTCCAGGGTTTGTCCGGCTTCTGCTTTGATGTGGGCCTGAGACGCATAACAGCTCTCTTCTGATACAATTCAATTCTCCTAAGCTTTTTCCCCGTGCGTTTCTCCGCGACTGACTGCTGTGCCGGACAATTTCACGCCTCCTTGACAACTGGATACTACGGCAAAACCCACAATTAATAACACCAGACGGAAAACCGGAGACTGGCACGCTCGATAAGAGAACAAAGGCCTTTCTACCCCAACCGCGTGATGGAAAAGGAGGAGGAAGAGCGACAAGCGCTGCTCAAGACCATGTCTCGTACGGAACGCCGGCACGGGAGAATAGCCAGCTTCAAGGCAAGCTCTGGCCATGGCAACAACAGCAACTCGCCGGGCCGGGCTAGGCAAGAACAATCCGCCGCTGCAATGACCGCCAGCCTGGTGGAGGACGGCGTTCTGTTCCGACCCGGGCCGACGGCGATCAGACTCCGGACGGCGAAGCAGATGCAGCTAGCAGTCGCCCGCCGGAGACAAGGCTGCAACGGCGACGGTGGCAGTGGCAACGAAGTTGATACCCCGGACTACTACTTGACCGGCGGAGAAGCACAGGGGCTACATCCGTCCTCGACACCGACAGCGGGAGGACCTCTGGTGGTCAAGAGGAGAGCGTACAGCAGCGACGGAACCGCGGCTACGGCGGGCCGCGCGGGGGGGCTAGTACTCGAGGTCAATCGAACCGGGGGTGGCGGTGGCGGCGGCCGCGGCGGCGGGCGGAGGCGCAGCGTGCCGGGGGCAGGGGAAGGGCGACCAAACATGATCTTTACGCCCTCTCTGGCGCCCGTCGGGATGGAGTCCGTCCGGTCGTGTCCCATGAGCTTGGGGAGCGGAGGGTTAGGTCAGACGAGCTCCGTGAGGTGGGCGCCAGAAACGATGGAATCTGCGGTTGCCGCGGAAGACTCGCTGGGGGAGGGAGGGGGGGAAGGAGTGTCGCAAGCCTTGCGCGACACCCGAACGGTGTAAAATTAGTGAGTACCTTTCGATTGGGTAAACCGAAACGGCGCCACATACCTGGTGCCGTACCACGAGCCCTTACGGCTGTATGTATGATGGGCTTTATTTATCACGTCGTTTTCGACAAAAGAGAAGAGTCTGCACGTATACATCGACCATCAATCGACGTCAACAGGTAGCACAACGCAAGCTAGACAACTTCATGGGTACCGGCTAGGTCGTTCATGCCCACGGAGAAGACAACAAACACCACTCGCGCCGCACGGAATGTTTCCAAAGTGCGGTATTTTACGCCAGACTGGCTCAAAGAACGAGGTGACCTTTCATTCAGCGCCCATTTTTTTTCTGGGCCAGTATCTTGACGCAGGGCATGCCGATAATTTCATAATTTCCACACATCAAGAGTGTTATTTCACCACAACACGAGAAAAGTAAACGACGACAGCACCAACAATAACCGGAAATGCAAACGTCCAGCTCAAAAAAAAAAAAAGGCCGTGGGTGGCCCTCGCACTGCATCAGCAGCGGTTTCATCGATGGGCGAAGGGCTGTCTGTATTGGCGCAAGAGACACGGTGGCAGTGTGTACCTAACGCACACAAATGAATTTCCCCCCATCATACCACTCCAGTCTGAGAGTTGTACACAAAGTTGGGAGAATCATCAAAAATATCACTTGGATCGCCTCTTCGCTCAATAATTATATACTTACAAACCGTTGTGGGGGGGGAGGGAGGACCAGAAAACGCACTTGTTCCCAGGCACGTCTGGTGACAAGAAAACAACCGCACCCGCTGCCCGCTGTACACGTACCGCTAAGAGAACTACCAATACCGCACGCAGTAGCAGCAGCCGCCCTCAAAGCAACCCGTCGCCAACAAGTGGCATGCCTCGAACCCCAAGGAAGGGAAGACACAAGATGATGGGTCCTTGATGACGTACCAAGAACAGCAGACGACAAGAGGGGCAAGTCTGGAGAGGAACAAACCTGCAATTGCGTTGACAAAAGGCGACACCTCGTCTCGTCGGCGGAGGGGCCACGACAACAAAAGCGCAAAACAACGGCAGTCCTCGTCGATCCACTTGACAACGACGATTCACCCCCAGAGACACCGATTGCTCACGGAGAGATTTGTCCCTCCGCTCCAACAGGGTGTACGTGTGGGCGTACTCGTGTTTTGCTTGCCATACGCAGCGGTTAGGACATCGTCCAGGGTGGGGGGGTCCCTTTATTCAGCACAGAACAAACCCGATCAATCGACGTTTTTCATCAAAGTCCAAGGACCATAACCACCGCCGCGCAGCGGTTTACTCCACGGGACCCCCCCCCCCGGTTCAACCAAAGTCGCAACTTCCGGTTGCTGCGGGCGCACGTCTGCCTCTGCCTCATTGCTCCACCACCCCGTCTCGCGACGACAAGCCCGACTCCGAGGTATACGAAGAAAAAGACGACGACCACGCGGCGGAAGCGTCGTCCGAGTCGT